CACGGGAAGGAAGGAGCTGATGACAAAAGAGGAATGAGCTGCAGCCCAAATCGTACAAAATAAATCCAGGACATTTTGCTGTGTAGCCCACGAGCCCTGGAATTTGTCAAACTCACACAGTCAACGTGGAAAGTTGTGGCGCTTAACTAGACTTGGATGGCCCCATCTTTTGATGTCAGATGCAAATGTGTGAATGAAAATAGGACAGCACCCAAAATGTATAGGTTCCTGATGTGTTCAGTGATTACTGTTTTATTTATGTATTTATCCTACGCGGTTTCTTTCCATTTCAACAGTGCTTGGGACAGCTTTTCATTCAACTCACCTAAACCGTTTTGAAATGGAAAGGAGTTTCCTCAACAAGGAGGAATTATCAAAATGTATCAGCAGCCTAGACACCCGTGCAACTGCCCTTTTTAGTCTCTGGCTTTTTCCACAGCTGTTTTTGATGCTTTCTTTCATGTGTCCATGTGCATCTCTGTCCAGGGACACTGCTTGTTACGCTGTTGTGATCAACAAGAGTTAAACCGAAGCTGTTGTGTAAATGGGAGCTTTGTATTTGCATAACCTTTGGGCTCCCTTTGGGGAATTTCTGCTGGCATTTCCTGTGTTTTTCTCCCAAACTGAGGTTTGAGAGGGTTAATGGTTGTGCACAGGGCAGATGGGGTCACTGCACTGCTGGGGAATGTTTGCTGAATGTGATCTTGCGAGTTAATACACTTTCAGTGTTTCAGGCTGTCACTGATTAACTTTGTCACTGACTGATTATTTTTCACATCATCTGGCTCCCAAAAAAGAAACAGCAGCTCTGAGGAATCACCACCGCCAAGGGCACTGTGTAACTTCTCACCCGCTCTGTTCTGAATTAGATGCTACTGGAAGGACTGAATCTCTCCCACCAAATTCTTTCTAGTTCATCATGTCTGTGATGAAATGTGGAGGGTGTGTGTGTGTTCATTTTTAAAGGGCTGAGGTCGGGGTGGGGGATGTTAGAATTCCTGCCCCGTGATTGCAGTCATGGGATTTTTGTCTATCACATGACGGTATATGTTTTGACTCCACAAAGTGGGAAGTGACGGAGACAGGATGTTTGTGTTACTGTGTTCCGTGAAGTGGGACTATTGTTCTTTGTTTTTTCTCTCTTTGCTGTCTGATGCTAGAGAGAGAGGGAGCCATGTTGCAGTGCTCCGTGTGTGTCTATATGTAAACAAAGTAGATTAGCCAAAATGCTGAGTTGCTGAGGTCTGTCATGTGAGATGCGCAAACTCTGCGGATCCCTAAGTGTGCCGGTGTCTGTTGGCATCGGTCGCTGTGATGTTCGGGCTGAAGAAAGCTTTTGAAGCTCCCAAATGATCGACCAGGAGGGAGAGAACATGCCAGTCAGGGTCCTACTCGAGTGTAGGCTGAACTCCTGACAGCGGTTATGGGCTCAGAGATCGGGGCCACAGACCCAGTGCCAGTAGCACTCCAGATACCACTGGACTACAGCTCCGATCATCCCTGACCATTGGTCATGTTGGCTGGGGATGATGGGAGTCCAGCAACATTTGAAGGGTCACTCGTTCTCAGCTCCTGACTGTAAGACATAGGTGCTTGCTGTCTGTAGATGTCGGCTGTTAATGGTGTCATAGAACCTGTGTGTCGAAAGGGACAAAACTGGAAAAATGCCACGCAGCCTTTTTCGGATTGGGCATAGAAATGTGCAAGGTTTGGAGTTACACCAATGTATCTGGCAGGACAGATAGACACCTTTCAAACGATGCATGCCTATGCTTCTCCTTGCACCCCAGCAACCCCTATGATACCATTAACATAAGATTAACATAAGATGCTAAATCAGCCATGTTGTTAAGACGTGCATATCAATTCATAGGCCGGGATCCGGACAACTAATTCCGTGTTCCCAACAAGGCTTTGTGTTTCCCAAACAGTAGCTCCCCCTGCTGCGTGGCCTACTGCTTTGAAAATAAATGCTATCTGTATAGCACAGTAAGTGGGGCTTGCTGTTCAAAGTGGGAGAAAATGGCTTTTAAAACTCCTATCGAGCATCTCTAAGCCCTTGGGAAAGCCTAGAGTAGCTCTTTGGCTCCCAGTCATGCTTTTTAATAAGAAATCAATTGTCCCTGATAAGTTGACTATCATTTCTGATGAACTGTTCTCCTGCATAATTCAAGAGCATGCACATGGAGCCTGTGATGGTGGCTAAGACTTGCATTTACTGTTCTAGTACTTTATCCCATTTTTTAAATTGCAAGGTTGTAGAGACTGAACATATGAACAGCCATGCTAGATCACACTAGGGCTGCATCCAGTCCAGCCCCCTTTTCCCATAGACGCTAATACAGGCATGGCCAAATTTGGCCCTCCAGCTGTTTTGGGACTACAACTCCCATCATCCCTAGCTAACAGGACCAGTGGTCAGGGATGATGGGAACTGTAGTCCCGAAACAGCTGGAAGGCCAAGTTTGGCCATGCCAGTGCTAACAGCAGGGTGTGAAGGCAATAGCCCTCCCCAGGTTGCTAGAGTGTAGTGCGGTGTGCCTTCCGCACATTGGTAGGGAAACCAAACCAATGTTTTTAGAACAGCTGCTAAACCTGCTGTCTGATTTTCAATGTGTAACTGCTTTAACTTTCTTGGTTAACCATTGAAGCTGCAAGGAACCATTCCCATTTTAGTCTTGCCAAAGGAGATCTTTTTGAGAAATCTCTAGGGATCGTTTCACACCATTGATTCTCTCCCTCTCATTGTGTGTGCCGATGTATACCTGAATGGAGAAAAGGAGGCGCACACTTGTTTTGTGACGGCAACTATTGGCAAAAGTGTAGCCACAACAGGGGTCAGCGGGAGGCTGACGGGTCATCGAGTGTGAAGGGATGTGCTACATCGCACGATTGTAAGGAGAGATTGGGCAATGTGAGCCAGCCCCGAGAGCATATACTCAAAACACAAAATCACTGTGTTTTGAGAGCTACGCGAGATGCTGCCGTAATCATTAATTTAATTTGTTTCTCCTCCTTTGAAAGATATGGTGGAACTTGCTTGTGGGCTTCCCATAAGCACTGTGACAACAGGATGTAGATGGGCCATTTTCTTGATCCAACAGAATTCTTCTTGTGTTTGTTATTCCTGTCCTAAAGGTAAAGGGTAAAGGGACCTCTGACAGTTAAGTCCAGTCAGGAACGACTTTGGGGTTGTGGCGCTCATCTCGCTTTACTGGCCAAGGGAGCTGACGTTTGTCCGCGGACAGTTTTTCCGGATCATGTGGCCAGCATGACTAAGCCACTTCTGGCGAACTAGAGCAGCACACGAAAATGCTGTTTACCTTCCCGTCGGAGTGGTACCTATTTATCTCCTTGCCCTTTGATGTGCTTTCAAACTGCTCGGTGGGCAGGAGCAGGGACTGAGCAACAGGAGCTCACCCCGTCGCGGGGATTCGAACCACCGACTTTCTGATCGGCAAGCCCTAGGCTCTGTGGTTTAACCCACAGCACCACCTGTGTCCTAGTACACCACTGAATGCCAGCTTCTGGGTATCCCAAGTGGGGAAAGTGCTGTTGAACTCAGGTTGAGCTTACTGGCTTCTCATAGGTACCTGGTTGGCCACAGGATGCTAGACTAGACGGCCCATTGGCCTGATCTGCCAGTGCTCTTCTTAATGTTCATACATGTTTACGTGATGGCTGCACCTTTCCCTCCCATGCCATCTTATGGGATCCCAGTAGCAGCAGGCCAGGCAAGGAAACACATGCGATCATGATGCCAAAGCCAATGGGTGAGCTCTACTGGATAGTATGGAGTGAGAAGGGAGAACTGCATAAATGGCTGCCATTTTGCTGTTTCTACCTTTTAGTTCAGAACGTGCCTTTTGTGAACGTTAATGTGGGTTGAGGGGGCAGGACAGAAGCCAATGCTTGCTTACATAGGGATTGCATTTTTACTACAGCTCTAGGATATGCAAAACCTGATTAAGTGCCTACTCACCCTCGAGTAGCCTTGAAATTGCTTTGGAAAACGTTTATCTCTCTTCTGGCCCCTCATGCAAATGTTCCTGTTCATACTCAGCATTCCTGCAAACCTACCAAGCAGTTCAGACACACTTGCTTTTAAGTCCGCTATGCTTGGTGAATATGAATTTTGCTACAAATATGCACCTCAGATCTTTCCTTGAGAGTAATTGAGGCAGCCCTGCTATGTAATGCCTTCTCTTAACTGGTGATGGAAAAAAATAAAATAAATAAAAGCATGGCTGATCTGAGGTTTCTTCAGGAGAGTATTTACCTTTTCACATCAAACAAAAACTCAACAGGCACCTACAAGCTTAAGTAATAGAGACAAGCCTGTTGGTGCATGAACTGTAGTTGTCTAAACCTATGCACTTTATTTTCCTAGATTAAAAATAGAGACGTTGTCAAAAGTGAGCCATTTGCATCTCAGAAAACCTGAACTGAGGCACCAGCAAGGAGTCTGGTAGCAAGTGCAGCTGAAGGTTGTTCAATTGAAGTCTGTATATTGGCTTTCCCCTATTCTGTAATGGCAGAATGAATGATCGCAGGGGTTAAGGTGCTCAATGAGTTGGTGTTTGGAGGAATGTAGTTTGGGAGAGCACCAGATCAGGAAAAGAAACCTAGAACAAGAGCCATTTTGGGTAAGAGTTTTATAAGGTTTTATAAGGTATAAGGTTTTATAAAGTAACTTTCCAGTCTTCGCTTTATGTGTTTGAGAAACAAAAGGAACTACCGTTTGAGTCGGAGACTGTAAAGCTCTGTGAAGTTATGGTGACTACTCACTATTCCTTAACCCTTTATTTAACTAAAACCAACTTTGACTAAAACAGATGTAGCAAATTTTTGTCCACTATATGCCATAATAAATTTGTTAGTCTTTAAGGTGCCACAGGACCTCTTTGTTGTTTTTGCTGCAACTAGCAAACACAGCTAGCACTATGGAAATTGTTTGCAAATTTCCATAGGAGATCAAGCATCTTGCTGCATAAGAAGAAAAACACACACACACACACACACACACACACACACACGTGTGTGTGTGTGTGTGTGTGTGTGTATATATATATATATATATGTGTGTGTGTGTGTGTGTGTGTGTGTGTGTGCAGGAACCACAAAGCATTGGAACAGTCTATGGAATTCAGCTGCTTTCTGCACAGAGTGACTGAATCCCCATTTACTCAGATGAAAGAGGCTTGCAAATTTAGATAGGCAGGATGCAATTACCCAAGGCAGAATTTGTCCAAAGACTTGACAGTCACTGTCCACCTGGTTGTGAAAACTGACACGAGAGCTTCAGTGACCAAGGCTGCAATCATAGGATGACTTAGGAGCTTGTAGTAGATGTCATCAAAGTGGCGAATTAGTTCAGTCAGCCCTGACTTAAAGGGAAGGGTGATGCTTTGTGAATGGCAAATGTGACTTGGGTGGCAGATTCCTTTGGCTCCAGAGTATTCCTTTGGCTCTGGTTGTTAAATCCATCAAGTTTGGACTATAGCACCACCTTGCAGAAAAGTCCACTGAATTACTAGTCCAAATTGCCACCATCCATCTGCCCGCAGATACCTATTAAGCTGTCTGTGGCTAATGAAAGTGCTGAAGGAGTCAAAAAAAGGGGTCCCCATTATGTTTCTTTCTGAAACCTTCCCCACCTGATCACCCAAAAAGGATTCAGCACTTGCTATAGGCAACCAAGGTCCAAATCTACTTGCAAACCTGCCATAGTTCATTCTTACAACAGTTTCTAATTCAACGGAGTGCTATATGGCTGAACAAAGGGTTGGAGTCTAACCCTGCTGGCCACTCTGAGGCTGGGTCCTGCCACCGTGCCCCTAGCAAAATGGAAGAAAAAACTATGGGTGCCCCAACACCCCAGAGTGCTACCTGCAAAGAGACTGAGTGCTTGCAAAACCTCAAGTCTTTTTGTAAGTGCTTACAGAACTTTTGCAGGTGATAACACTCCTTCTCCAGTTACCTGCTCCAACACAAACAACTTACCTTGGAGCCAGGACAGGAAAGAGTGATCAGTGGCCCTCCAGATGTTGTTGGACATACTGGCTGGGGGTGAAGGGAGTTGGAATCTTGAACCAGGGGGGAAACTGGCAGGCCTTCTCCAACAGCTGGCAGATCATTTTCTGCGCCAGGAATCAAATTACCTCCTCCATCATCCCTGACAGCCCCATTCCCAGTGTGAAAACATGTTCCATCAAGGCCTCTGGAGCCACTAACACTTGGCTACTTTCCCTTCCCCAAGCAAGCCATTGGTCCCAAGTGGCTAGGGCAGTGGGAACCACAGTGGTAGATGCTTACAGGTGTGAGGCAAAGAGGCTGCAAAGAGAGCTTTCTGTGCCTCATCTGCTCACAAGCATTTGAATAGCATCACCTGCTTTTCATCTGATCACTTAAGACATCCCTAGAAGTAACTCAAAGTCCTTGTAGAGCAGAGCCACTAGATGGAAGTAGAAACTAGAATGTCTTGATCTGCCAGTGCAAAAAGCAGAAACACCTCACCTCATGCAGTGGCTATTGCTGGTGCTTCTCCACCCCACAAATCTGACAGGCCACCCCCTAAAGCTCTTGTATCTATTTCAGGCTGCATTAAAATCATATTAGTTTAAAAAATGTGATTAATACCCCCACACACATGCACCTTAATGTGAGCTAGGAGAATAGCTGTTTCCTAAGAAGGTGTGTGACACTGCCCTAGGAACAACTCATCTTTCTGGCCCAAGAACATCTCTCAGGGCACCTAGACTGATCTTTGCAATGTCCACTCAGACCGTAGCATGTTCCACCGATCTCAGCCAAATCCCCACATTACAGGCACAATCAGCTCCATTACAAATCAGCAGGGGATGGGTTTGGGGTTTCTTTGCAATAGATTGCACCCAATGTATTCAAGATCCAGGTATTAAACTGTCATCTGACACACACAAAATAGAATAAAAAATAAACCCTGCTTGTCATGTGGAGATAATAACTAAAGCATGAGGGCAGGCAAGCAGAGACAATTAATAGAAGCCCGTCAGATTATTGCTGGCAGGAGTTTGATGCCAGCTAAATAGAAGGGAATAACCCCGCAATCATGCTGCCATTTTCATTTTTTGCTCCTTCTGTAGACAGCTATCACTAGAACATGACTGTTCAAATTTGTCCTAGTGCGTCAGTTTATCTTCCCCTTTGCATCATTCGGACAGAATTACGGCTAGGCTTGCAAGCCACAGAAATTCAGATGTATCAGCTGCTGGTTCAGTGTTTCACATTAATGAACCACAGATACCTTAATGAGGATTTGTTGATGGTTGAGATTATTAGGAGCCCCTAACTGCCTTCCTTGTTAGACGTGGCATTCATTATAGGTTACCTCAGGGCAAAAACGGCTCTCTCTCCATTGAACAGGTTTAGCTTGCTGGTGAGTCTAATGAGACGGCTGAAGTTCATTTAACAGTGTATGCTGTGGCCAGGGAGATGGGGGCCGGGGGGGGGAGGGATGATTGTAGTCTCCGCTGGCAAAGTTCACCCGTTCAGAAAGATTATTCTGTAAAGAAAGGGCATTTCCTTACTTTCTGTCTTTAGCTGTGCTCTCTCTGTCTGCCACCTGAAATGCAATACAAATACTCACTAAGGGGATGACATTTTAAGTTAATCCATTTCAAATTGGTTCTTGCGCTGGAGTGCAAAGCAAAGTGCTTTTGGTATGATGAAGAAGACGAATGCAGCGGCTGCTCTGCAACAGTTGAGTATCATTTCCAAGTTCCCATCCTTAAGAAAGGAAGAGCCCTGTATCATATTCCAGCATTGCAAAAGCTGTTGGGAGTGGCAGAGCTGTACGCAAATGGCCTCTCAGAATTCTTCACCCTATTAGTAGAAAGAGGCATTGAGGGAAACTGTTTTTCCAGATCGGTCCAGGAAGCAGAGAAATTCTCCAACATTTTCTCAGGGGTGGGGCTCACCATTAGCAGTGGCAGTAAGGTAGCTTCTCCCCACAATAAAAATTTCTCTCCCCCCGCCCCCGCAATAGTGGGAGTGGCCGCAACAGTGTTGGCATCCTGGCCATGATGATTTTGTATCCCCCACAATGCCTTGGGCTTTGCATCATTCCAGGGTGTTGTTGGGTGGGTATGGTGGCCACCACAGAAATAATGGTGGAGGCTGTTTGGGGGGGGGGATCTGCAAAGTGGTCTTTTTTGGGGCAGGGGGTGGTGTCAGAAGTTTTCGCAGAAAAATATCTTTTGAGAAATTTCAGCTCAACTCTAGGTAGACTATATCCATACATTGTTATATGTTAGCATTAAGCTTCATGGTGCAAAGCTGAAAAATATAGAATGGCCATGCCTTGAGTCAGCTGAGTAGGACATGAGCATTTAAATTGCTACTTTTCTCCATGGAAATAGAGTGAGAGCCACGCCTTATCACCACTATTTGTGAACACCTGTTTGTTACATTCATATTTTACATTCTTTAGGGGCACGCTTTATTTCCCAAACCCTTCCTTTTTATTATAAAAAGTACGCAGCTTACCTAAAATCAGTATAGCAAGGCAAGGTAGTTATGAGCAGAACTGGGGGGGGGGGGGGACATAGGCAAACTAAGAAGAAAATCCAAACAGCAGGCTCAGTCGAATTCTAAGAAGCTGTGTTAGTGAGTATTGTGGCTTTCATATGGTTGCTTAAATAAAATATGATACACTTGGTGAGGCAGTCCAAAGTGCTTCTTTTGTATCAGGTTTTTATTCTGCTGCAATGCCTCCACCACCCACAGCAATTCGAGAGCCCAGCCAGGATTTTTATTTATGTATCGCAATGGGTGCTGCTTCCCTTCATTGTATTTCTTTCTTCACGATGAACATGTGATGTGATTCCCTCCAGGGATTGAATTGAAATTACCAGGGTTCCCCCTCTTTCCCTCCCTTCCATTAAGACACTTAGGAGAGGCTGCAGCCTTCAGCTTCTCCAAGATGGTTGTGCCATCAAATGTATGGATCTCTTAGGTCAGAGTGCTTCTATTTGGAATAAGCTGCATGAAAGAACAGCAAACATTAGGGAGGTCAACAAAAGCAGCTCTTCTTGCTAAAGCAGGTTGATGTAATTTCCGTTTCTTTCTAAATTACTTTTTTGGTTCATAAGTTGAAAATAACGGGAACGCACTCTTATCCAAGGAACATGCGCTGGGAACCGTAATGGCACTAACAGCAATGCCAGCTAATCTTCCTGTGGTGGTATCCTTCCCAACATCTTGCAATCAGTTCACGTCTTAGCAGACGTTAGCAGAGGAAACTGCCAAGAGGAACATAAGAAGAACCTACTGGATTGGCCCATTGGCCCATCTAGTCGAGTATCCTTTTCTCACAGTGGCCAACCACTTGCCCATGAGAAGCCCCAAAGCAAGACCTTAATGCATCAACATTATCACCTTCTGTAGTTTCCAGCAACTGGTATTCAGAAGCATACTACAGTGGTACCTCGGGTTACATACGCTTCAGGTTACATACGCTTTAGGTTACAGACTCCGCTAACCCAGAAATAGTGCTTCAGGTTAAGAACTTTGCTTCAGAATCAGAACAGAAATCGTGCTCCAGTGGCGTGGCAGCAGCAGGAGGCCCCATTAGCTAAAGTGGTGCTTCAGGCGAAGAACAGTTTCAGGTTAAGAACAGACCTCCGGAACGAATTAAGTACTTAACCTGAGGTACCACTGTACCTCGGATAGTGGAGGGGAGGACATAGACATCAGGGCTAGTAGCCATCAATAGACTTATCCTCCATGACTGTCAAATTCATCCAAGTTAGTGGCCTTCACTACATCTTGTGGAGTATCCTGGCATTGGTAAGCTACAGCAGATTATTGTAATGTGTGCCTTAAAGGTAAAGGAGCTCTGTCCAGTTGCGAATGACTTTGGGGTTGCGGCGCTCATCTTGCTTTACTGGCCGAGGGAGCCAGCATTTGTCTGCAGACAGTTTTTACAGGTCATGTGGCCAGCATGACTAAGCCACTACTGGCGAAACCAGAGCAGCGCACGGAAACGCCGTTTACCTTCCCGCTGGAGTGGTACCTATTTATCTACTTGCACTTTGATGTGTTTTCGAACTGCTAGGTTGGCAGGAGCTG